GTGTCCATCGCGCTGTGATGATTGGTACCACATGCATTGAGTCTATGTTGCATTTGCATTTATGAGCCTTTGTGTATAAATTATGACGTTGTGGCCTTCGAGGCCTATTGAAGGGTGTGAATGTGTTAAATATGAATTATGACGCCGTTTATGCATTAATTGTTATACATTGATTATCATGAATTGTTTTACTCACCCTGCCTGTTTGAATGTTACTTTCACGTGGGTAACGTGCAGATGACCAAGTTTAGCTGTGGATGCCGTCGAGGAGTATTTTTGAAGTCTTAGAGTCGTTAGCCTTTTGAATTATTATATCATGTAAAGAGTTTCTTTTGCTATTGTTGTAGATTAGTTTGATATATATCTACTAGATTAGTTACTTTCTCAAACAGTTTTGTTTAGATATCGAGTATTACATGGTTATGGGGGCAAATATACCGATATGGGATGGTCAGTTACTGGACAAACATTGTTATGAATTTTGCTACTCAATCCTCCCATTTATTGTAGTATTGAGTTATAAAATCTCATTTTCTTAAAAGAATAAATAAAGGGAATTAATAGCGTTTTTCTAGAAAGTGCTATTAAAGATAGTCTCTACAATAACACTTTTAGAAAAAACGCTATTAAATACAAGGACTATAATAGCACTTCTTCAAAAAGCGCTATTAAATACAAGGACTATAATAACACTTCTTCAAAAAGCGCTATTAAATACAAGGACTATAATAGCACTTCTTCAAAAAGCGCTATTAAATCCTTTCGTAAACAAGGTGTATGATAGTGCGGAATAGGGCAATGATAGCATTTATAATGAAGTGCTATTAAAAACACTCATTTTAATAGCGTTTTCAAAGCGCTATTATATGTATCGAATCTATAATAGCGGGGGCTTTTATAGCGCTATTAAAGGTGAAAAAAAAACGCTATTAAAAATAATTTTTGGCGTAGTGATTTAACTCTAACATTTAACACCATTCAATGTTGTTTCTTTTGCAAATGATAATTACTAAAGTCAATATTAAATATATTGATGTATATATTTAGTCTCCGTGTATTCATACTGTCAATTAAATGTTGCAATTTTAAAAGTCACCTATAGAAGAGGATTAAAGTTACGAAAAATTAAGAAGATACTTGATATACTAACTCGACATTAATGTTGTATACAATATTTTTCTTTCAAACATGTGATATAAATAATGACATATCATATAAGCATCTGTATTAGGGATGCCAAAAAAAAAAAATGTACTTACGGATATCTGCGGATAAAATTCGTCACGGATATGGGGCGGGTAGTTTAATGGATATTCATGGATAAAATAAATAGATATTTAAATATCTAGTTGTTAATCGATATGCACACATGTTTAATGATATATGTGCCCGCGGATATCCATATTCATTAATAAATTATAAAATCATTTAAATGTTATTAGTTTATTGGACATTATCTTTTCATCTTTTAAAAAAATTAGTCTTCTTATATTTCTTTCTTTTTTTAAAAAAAAATCTTTGAAAAAAACCTTTCACATTTCATTCAAATTCTATTAGTCATTTTATATTTAAACTCTTCAATACTTCATACCTCACTTCAACAATTTCACAGTCCAACCAATTAGTGTCGTTATTCCTCTGTCAAACCAGGGTCTCCTGTCTACTCCTCTGTCGTTTGCTCTTCCATCATAACTCACAATCACAGTATCTTTTATTTGTTTGGTTAAAATGAAATGTATGGATATTATGTTTAGATCTAATTATGATTTGGTGAATAAAAAGAAATTAATATGATGAAATTTTATTGTTAAATTAAAAGCGAATTGTATGGATGTTATGTGATAATAACTTTTTGTGTCTTTAAAAGAAGTTAAAAATATTTTTGATTAAAAAAAATTATCCATGGACATCTGTAAATATTCACAGATATCATAAAACCCACAGATTGTCCACTTAATAGATATCTGCATGAATATGAGGTGAATATAAATATCATATTTATCCAACCGGACAAATACTGATATAATAATATTCGTTCCCATAAATATTCATTTACTATTTTTTTATACCTTAAATTTAAATCTATTCAAATGTTCTCATAATATAATAAAATGTAACACATTTATGTGCTTCACGGGTCAAAAGTCTATTTTTAATCAATTTTTTTATAATACGATAAAATGTAACAGACACGTGCATTGTATAAGTCAAAAATCTAGTTTATATAAGTTTTGTAATATTATAAGGGGAAATGCTAACGAGTGCCCTCAGGACATTCGTTAAGAGATTAAAATGGTAAATTGGGCATTATTTAAGAGATTAAAAATATATTTTTTTTCTAAATATATGTGTATTCAATGCCCTGAAAAGAGAAATAATCAGACTTTTTAAAAAATATTGTGTGTATTGAGTGAACTAAATAATCAGATTAATTAAAATATATTTTCGGTGTAAAATTATTTTACACTATCATTTAAGAATGAATCATTTTAATATATAAAAAAAGAGAAAAACATAAAAAAAATAGTTATTAAATTAGTTTAACTATAATTTATTTTTTATTTATTTTTAATTTCATATTATGTGTTAAAATAATTCATTCTAATTAGATGATAATATAAGTATAAGATAATTTTACACTAACACTATATTCCAATTAATCTTATATTATAAATCTTAATTTATTTTATTATCAATCATAATCCTACGATGTTTCTTATAAAAAAATTTATTATACAAAATTATAATCTTATAACTTCTTTTATAATTATATATTTAATTAATAAAATAAAATATATAATTAATTAATTAACATAACTCGCTATTGTAATTAGGCGTATGAATACATCATACCGATTTAAATCAATTTTTTTTGTTAAAATAGAAAATATTTTAACTTTATAAGCCAATTTAATTTAAAATATTGAATCACTAATCATAATTTTTTTAAATTTATCATTATGTCCTATTTAAATAAATATAAATAATTTTATTAATGTTATTATATTGTATATTGTATTTTAAATTAAAATTAAAAAAACAATATTTGTTATTTTGAAGAACTTATTAAAGTAGGTTGAAAAAACCTCACGAAAAATGTTATAAGTTGTTTTCATAAGTTTTTCTAAATAAATAGTATCACAAAATACTAAATAAGTTCAGAATTGTAATCATTTAATATTAGAATTAATTTCTGAACCGGATTAATCGACCCAATGTTGGTGGTGAAAAAAAACTCACATTAATTAATGCAAATAAACTTTTAATATTATTAATCTTTTAATTTTTTTAATTTATATAAATACTAATTGAATTACTTATTTATATATATTAAAATAAAATAAACTTAGAGACTAATCAGACATTTAAAAATACTAGACTCGGACTTAAGAATAAGTCCACATAGAAAACTTAACCTAATCTTTGACATTTTAACATAACATTAGGGCTGGCAATGAACCAAACCAACTCGAAGATAGTTCGGAATTCGACTCGACAATTAAATCGTTGAACTAGGTTCATGAACCAAATGAGTTGAGTATGAGCGAAAAATTAAGTTCGTTAACTAAATGAGCTGAACTTGAACTATACATAGTTCGACTCGTTAGGTTCATGAGTCAACTCGATTACATATGAAAAGAATTATACTGTCTTTAAGATTAGGTTTAAATATTTACTTCAAATCTTAGACAAATTTAATCTTCAATTTAGTAATTTTTGAATTAGACTCTCAAATGTATCTCTTGAAAGTTGTGTAGGTTTTGAATTAGTAGATTTCGAAGATAAAGTTAAATTTCAATATGATAACTTTTATTTTATTTTAATATTTTATTTAAAAAATATATATTTATTTAAAATGTCAAATATACTAAAAAATATATATATTTAAAAAAATAGTTTTTAAGTTCGTGAACCATGTGAGCTGAACCTAATGAGATGAACCTAACGAGTCGAACCGAACTGTTCGTGAACTTATAACGAGTCGAGTTTGAGCTTAAAAAAAAGTTCGTGTCGAACTCGAACTCGAACTCGAATTCGAACAATTCTTAACGAGTCGAGTCGAGCTGAGGTGAGTTCGACTCGACTCGACTCATTTCCAGCCCTACATAACATACATAAACTTGATAAAGTGTAACTCGGTGGTACATTTTTTCATCTAAGTGCAACTCACCAACATTCCTATAATTCCTATTAGCCTATTTATCCATTAACTAATTAATTAATACAAATTAATCTTCATACTTTCGAATAAAGGAGTTAAAAGTTTTATTAATATTTGTGAAATGATCTATGTTGACTTGATCAATATTTAAACAGTATAATTTTTATTTTTGTATCAAATTTTTTACTCACAATTATTTTTGAAAACTCTATTTTAGAAAACAACAGTTAAATTTTTTAATTTGGATCTATTCATCCCTATCGACTATTTTTCTACTTCCATGCCGAGATGTTCATCATTATACTTCTATCAAATACAACAAAATTCTTTGAAAAAAATTGAATTTAAAATTTAAGAATATAAAGTCAAAATTTTGTCATTGAATAAACACCTAAGATGTATGTTTAGTTATAATAAATTATACTATAAGATTTGCATGAATATATTTTAAGAAATATAATTAACAAAAGAAATCCTATTAATTAAGCCATGCATCCTATTTTACTTTATTAGCTTTTCATCAATGCTTTTCAATGTTTTGTTTTATCAATAAGTTGGAAGTTGTTTAAAACTAGTTGCAAGTATGAATGGCGTTGGATTGAAAATCATGACATCATGTTGTTAATGTTTATGTACTTCTTAGAATAAGTATTGGTAATTGAGAACCAATGAAATCGATTTTAATAAGTTCATAGTTTGTCATTCATGTTTTTGTATGTTAGATCAATGGTGACCGATGTAACGTCACCATGAAGCTACTGTTTACAATGTTTATCACATTCACTAGTTCAACAATGAAGAATTAAAGAACTCTAAAAAGAAACAAAAAATGTGAACTCTACATTAAATTGTAATTTCCCTGTTGATTCATTGTGTTATGAGGATAATTAGGGACAGGTACAGGATCTCCAAATGGATTATGATTCCCCATAATTTGCAACTGTTGAGGGTGATGAGGGTATTGACCATGAGGTTGTTGCTGGTGAAGCACCATTTCCATGTTGTGATGTTGTTGTTGTGGATACATCATATGCTGTTGTTGGAACATCATCTGTTGCTGCTGTTGTTGTTGAGCCATCATTGCCATTTGAACATTGGTTGGAGGTGCTATGTTCTTCGACATTGCAAACGGATCGTGTTGATTATAATGATCAAATGGATTTTGTACAGTCATTTCTTCATGTCCATAACCTGCATTTTGAAGTTGAAGTTGTCTTCTTGCATGTTCGTCTTCGTATAAACTGTCTAGTAATAGCGTGTCAAAACCACCGGCCTGAATCCGAAAATAAAGGGTTAATGAAACATAAATGTTACTCAAAGCAAAGAGATGAGAGTTAAAGGATGATGATAAGTAATCGAGACGAACCATTCTGCGATCTGGCGGTTGACTGTTATGGTTAGTTGGTGCTGTAACCAGGGCAAGTTCCCAACCAGAAGTTCCACTGATGTTACTCAAAGCAAGATTGTTTGAATTATGATTTCCTACATAAAATTTCAAAACATTAGAATTTGATAGGGTTGGCAAAACAGGCTCATCCGTTCGTTTTGCCAGCATTTTTTCGCGAGGCGGACTAAAGTTTTGGCCTGCACTCTCTAACATGCTCGCCCGTCTTGTCCCTTCTTTTGCGTGCATAGACATTAGCATAAAATTTTGTAAATTTTAGACGTTAAAGGTGTAGTGCTCAAGGACCCTTCCCACCCCGTTCTCAATTTTTTCGGGGCGGGCCAAAGTTTTAGGCCCGTGCCCTCAACAAGGCTCATCCCGTCCATCCCATATTTTGCAGGCTTTTGCGGGGCGGCATGTTCATTTGCCATCTCTAGTATTAGATCACGTATATCAATTGTGAGTTTAGGACTTACCACCGGGTGGTACAATTGCAAGAGCCAATGCATTTCTATCCTCCATTTCTAGAGCTTTAGGGTTTATTTCATTCAGACCCTACGTAAGGTAAACAAATATATATTCTGTCAAGTTAAAATCATAATCGCGCAAAGCTGTTAATCAGATAGAACGATAACCGAAACATACCAGTAAATCATCGATACCATCGGTTGATATCAGTGGAGGAAACTCAACCTTCTCTTCCTCAGGTTGTGCTTCTTCCTCGAGTACTACTTCTTCCTCCTCCTCACTGACTTTCTCTTCTTGCTTCTCTTCTTCTTGAGGCTCTTCGGCTTCTTTTGGCTCTGATTCCTCTAGTGATTCATCATTTTCCTTATACTCCTGTGTCAAATGATGTTTATTTTGAAAAACACATTATACTAATACTAGGTAATGTGCATGGATGAAAAAGTACAAGAAAATTTATCACCACTTTTTTCTTACCAATCTATTGTTCTCAGAGCTTAATTGGGGAGCTTCTCTAATATATTCTTCCATTGTAGCAAGGAAAGATGGCGGCGGCTGTTAATTGAATAAAAACTCTTCATGAGTTTCTTCTTGCTCAAGGTATCATATGAAGTATATACTAAATATACTAAAGTGCGGTTGACTCGCAATACTGGACATGGACATGACAAAAATATTTGTTCCAAGTGTAATTTGAGAAACCATCGTAAGATTGGACGAAACCTCGAACAAATTTGTTCGCCAAACACCTTACCGACTAAAAAGTTGTCGAGTAACTTAAAGAGTTGTCGTGTTTTGTTATGTCGAGTACTTATTGTTATGCAAATAAAAAAGACAATAAGAAACAAAAGGAACCTGTCTTAGCGTCGGAAACTGGAAATTCCTAGCAAGGTCCAAGCCTTTGCAATATTCATAAAAATCGGCGAGACTTTCAGCCTACATAACGCAAGAGAGAAAAATCACAAATTCGAACGAATGTTACTCTGGAGAAGTCTCATTTTAAAAAAAAGATATCATTACAAACCTGTTGGCCAGCTCTTTTATATACATTTAAAGCCTTCACTGCATCATGTCTTGTAGTTTCAAAGAACTGCAATTTTCATTAGTACAATTTAATATTAAAAAAAAAACTAATCAAATCGAAAAGCTAACACGAAATAAACACTACCATGTCCACAAGATTGATGATTCCATCATTGAGTGCACAATATATTTTGAAGCTCTCTTTCAATACCAAGGCCAATGCATACTGTACTAGATAATTGTTATAAGCACATCCCTCAGGCTGGAAAATGTTAGAAAATCAAAAGTTATCTTAAACTCAAGAAAATGCACATACCAAACTCGAGTTGTTTCCACTTACTCATACCTGACAACCGAGAAGGCGAAATAAAAGTTGTTGCAGTGCTGGTAGTTGTTCCAACAGATCGTCATTAGCCAACGATCGGGTTCTGCTATGTGCCTGTCAAAGGAAAAAGTTAGTAGCATTCATAGCATAAAGAAACTTTGGAAAATTTAGATGCGAAAATGATAAAGTAAAGTACAAACTTTAGTTGAAGCCGGTGAAGATTTTATCAAGCGCTCTGATTCGATATCATATTTAAGGATCCTAAAACATTCGAGTCTTTCTTCTAAATATAGTGCGTAGGTTCGAACCCAAGCAGAACAATCCCATGCTACAAAGAGAAATTTAATCAGTTAAAAAATGTAACAGTTAAGAAAATGATTAAAACTAATTTACCTAAAGGGCTTGAATCATCTTTAAAATTCGATATTTGGAGAATATGTCCCCTGCGCGAGTAGTTCAAAAGCTCTTCTCTGAATGTAGGATCACCCTCTCTCAAAGTCCTATGAATCACTATCAATGTCTTTATAGCAACCTGTTAATTTGTGACAGTTGCAAATGAATGTTATAGGCAAAGAGTAATCAATTTCTTTGTAAAATAGATGAGCATGAAAAGGAAATTACTATCCAACTTCGCGTCTTTGAAAGTCTCTTGGAAAGTTTATGAATGCAGTGTGCCACATCCGCGCGTGGTTGGTGCGCGGATGTTGCATAGAATATTTCTGCACAAATGAACAAATTTATAAGGAAGATTACACATGTTAACATAAATTTGAAAGGTAAAATCAAATTTGATTGATATTTGAACCAAATATTATAAACAATTCGATTTGTTCGTTTTGTTAAATAAATTTCACAATGACAAGAGAACAAAAAAGCTATATAACAAACATCTATCAACTCACTTCTAACATGACGTTCCTTTGGAGGATATTCAACATGATTGCAAGCTTTCACAATTGCAATATCCAAGTCCTTCAAAAACAAAATGAAAAAAAAAAAAAAAAGTTAAACCAATGAAGAATCTTTGATGGAAATTTTGAAAAAGAAACTTTTTGAAAAAACTTTGAAGTTTAGATAGAGATTCATGTACATATGTACAAATATATGCTAGTGGTGAAGATGAAAGAATCGTGGTACAATAAACAACCTCAAATGTGATTGTAAAAACATAAAAATCCAGGATGTTACAATAGATTGTGATCACAGATATTTATTTAAAATGTTTATGTATTTGAAAACGAAATCACCTTGTAATCGCTATTAACTTTGGCTAGGCCAACTTTGGTGGAGTCTTTGAGAGCTCCATAGGCTTTTCTGAAGCTTGTAAATGTTCCCATGAAAAGATTTGGATGAAGGAAAGAGAGAAAGAAGAAACAGATGTGCTTTGTTTTTTGTTCTATCTATGGAAAGGGTGTTTTGGTACTTTTACATTTTGTTGTGTTAACTAATTTATGAATTTTGACGAGAGAATCAGGTTACATCCTATGAAAGTTTACGTAGAATCAAGTGGTTGATTTTTAAGAATAGGAAAAACCGGGATCTGTTTTGTTGCTATTGAATTTTACCAAAATGCCCATTATTAGATTTTACTTTGATAAAAGGTTAATTTGAATATCTATTGCTTGTAATGTGGATTGTTGTCTAAGACTAAATAGTTACTGACATTAAAAATAGAAGTGTATAATGGTTTCGTTTTTTATTTCATCATTCAAATAATTTTATTTTAAAACTTTGTTATCAAGTTTTGTTCCTTGATATTCAAATATTAATGAGATGTTTTTTTTTTGGAGACATTATATTAAATGTGGAATTTTTTTGGAGACATTATATATTAAATGTGGAAACTTCTCTTCATGCATATGTTATTAGTATTAGTGGAAAGAATTTACTTTGATTTTCATGTATAACTCAGTAGGATATCCGTGCTATCGTACGAGTTTCGTACGAGTTTCGTCTGTATTCATAGAATAATATAATACAACAAACTTAACTTATTGAATTAAATGATATATTAAAAAATAGTACTACTTATTTATAAAATTATTTGTATCAACACTACACTTATTAAGTTTTTAATGTTACTCGAATTAACGTTGCTCTTAGATTAATATACTTGATCAAGAGAGTATTAAGTCTTTAATGTTAATCAAATTTTGTTTAAAAGATTTTACAATTTAGTCAAAAATGGATTTTGTAGTGAATTAATATAAAACAATAATAAAAGATAAATTTAAAAGATAAATATTAAAATAACAGTCCACGGTTGGTATTTCATAGATACCTTCTCATCTACATATGAATTTATGTCAGCTAGGATCTTCATTACGATGAACAATATTGAGAAATAAAATAAACGCTTAGATTAATATACTTAACCAAAAGAGTATTAAGTCTTCAATGCTAATCGAATTTGTTAAAAAGATTCTACAATTTAGTCAAAAATAAATTCTATAGTGATCGAATTAGTATAAAACAACGACAATAATGTTAAACATCATATTACTGAATAATAAAAGTTAAAACAAATTGTTGCTCAACATCTACTTCCATCAATCAAGATAATTGTGAGTTCTACCGAGCAACCATAAGATCACACGTCATTTATTGTTCCTACAACAACATGAATATTGATGACTTATTCCCGTTTATAAAAGTAATTGTATCAATAATAGAATTTTTTCAGTTAATAAAAATATTTATAACTTTCACTCGTTTATAAAAATATATATAAGTTATTCCATTTATAAAAATAATTGTATTTATAATAGACTTTTTCTAATTTATAAATATATTTGTAACTTTTTTCGTTTATAAAAATAATTATAACATATCCTTGTTTATAAAAATAATTGTTCTAATAGGTAGGTTTTTTCGCGTTTAAAAGTGTCATGAACCCCGTGTGCCCATTTATAAGAAAATATTTGTAATTTATTTCGTTTATAAAATTAATTGTATCAATAGAATTTATTCTCGTTTATAAAAATGATTGTATCAGTAAAGTTTGACCATTATCATTATTTTTTTTTTATGATTACTATTTATCATTATTTTTTTTCTATATTACTATTTATCATTATTTTTTCATGACTACCATTTATTTTATTTTTTGAAAAGATTTTGTTTTGTTTTAGAAATTTTATAAGTTTAAAAAAATTACAAAATCTCTATTGATTTTGTTTTGTTTTATTAACCTTTTTCTAAAAATCTAAATAATTACAAACTATATTTTTATTTCAAGTAAGAATCTCAAATTTTAATTAAAAAAATTTAAATGATAATAAAAAAATTATTAGTATTTAACACCTAAAAACCAAAACATGGTATAAGCATATTACATTAACTTAATAAGACAACTTTAAAATTACTTTTATTGTGAAAATATTTTAAATTAAAAAACTAAATTATTCATATGTTTTTAGAATGAAAAACTAAATATTTATGATATCATCTCAAATTTATTTATTCAATAGTGATAAATATATGTCTCATATTGAATTATGTGTATAAAAGATGTTTTATTGGCAAATAATAATCATATATCAAATATTAAAGTATATTAAAATTCTCAAGTGATAAATGTGTTGAAAAGTAGCATTTGAAAATTGATCTGACCTGATCAGAAGGGGATTACGGGCTGGCCACACGCTATTGGACTGCTACCTATTCACCGGTGATGAGGAGGAGAAGGGGGGTGTACCTGCAAGACACTTCGATGCAAAAGTAAGGAATTGGGCAAAGTGAAAGCAAAGTACAGAAAGGGCAAGATGTGAATTACCTGACCCTCCTGAGGAAGAGGGTATTTATAGAGAGACCCCAACGTTGGGCCAACGGTCATTTGAGGTGGGCTGGATGACCAGGCCCAACCCTAATGACTGCTAGGGCTTACGTGGCGTAGTGAAGACCAGGACGTGGTCTTCGCCCTAGTCCAACTGCTCCTTGATTCCCGGAAAGTGAGTTTGACCTGCTCTTTCGGAGGTGGGCAGTTGGTTGATGACGTGTTCCCGCGGAGGGGAGCACGTGGAGAACGTGCACCGGGCATGTTGTTCTCCCCGCGGAGGGGAGTTCGGGAGGTTCCCTGGAGGCACGTTGTTCTCCCCGAGCAGAACGCGAGGATGTGGAGGAACCAAAGGTCTTGCTCGACGGACCGGGGTGTGCCCTGTTCGGCCGACAAAAGAGGATGTGGAGACGTTATTGGACGCGTCGTCCATTCCGGCGGGGAGCGTGCTCTGCCCGTCCTATGGGGCGCGTGTGCTCGGTCGGGCTAGTCCACTTAATGGGCCATGTGCATTATTGGGCTGGACCGCGAGGCTGGGCCCAGACCAGAACAAAAATAATTGTGACCTATAAATAAAATATATAGATAGATAATAGATTTTTCTATTTTTTTAAAATAATTGTGACCTATAAATAAAATATATTTTTTTAAATTTCCATCATAACAATATAAATATATTTAATGATAAATAATAATCAAAATTACATAATATTTATAAAAAAAATATTGACATGACAGTCATTTAATTGTTCCAAAATTACCCTTATTTTATTGTAATATTTCCATAATTATCTATGCAGTTTGTTTTAATTACCATGTGTGAGCAAAAATCTCAACCGCTCAACCAAAACGAAAACCGCCGTACACAGACATTTAAGTGTGAAACAACTGCTCTTTATTTCAATAGCAAAACAAATTGTAATTACAAAACTTGGTAGAGAATCCTGAATAACAATGGAGTAGACTCTTATCGTTTTTTTTCTTTTTTTCTTATCTACATATTATCCTTTCCTTTCTCCATCCCTCTAATCTATTTGTTCATGTTTTCACTTTTTAATTTTCTTTTAGATATGTTCTTAAACATGATAAAGTCAAAATATATAAATCATTTAATATTATCACTTTTGTATATGTTCATGTATGTTTTGTTGGTTTATTCAATTTAGTTTAATTTTGTTTTGTTCTAATGTGTAGCTTTTGATTTTAGTGTCTGAGTAAAAATACATTGCTCTAATTTTACAAGTTTTGATGAGATTGTCATTTTTCTGTGACTAATACTTTAAGAATCATATATATTTTCATCATTTTAGTGTTAATTTAAGAATCATATATATTCTCACCATTTTAGTGTTAATTTAGGAAATCATATATATTCTCACCATTTTAGTATTAATTTAATAATCATACATATATTTTTACCATTTTCACAATTACTCAGTTTCTTTCTTGGTCAATCTCTATCTTTTCTCCTTCTGCATTTTTCTTTCAATTTTCACAATTACTCAGTGTCAATCTCTGTTATGGTTAGTTTTATGCATTTTCGTTTTGTAGGATAAGCGGATAATGTCACAATAAAACCATGGCAAAGATCAAAAAGGTTGATGATTAATTTGTGGACATGAGTGAAGTTAATATTTGTTTTGGTGAACATGGTAATATATTTTGATATGTTAGCATGCATTAAATAGTATTAGAATTGACCATTGAAATCTTTTTATGAAATTGAATGCATTTTTCTAATTTAACATTGTTAACCGTTGAAACTTAAACTGCATAACTCTACCATTTCAGATGCACGACATTTGTTTTCATGTCTTTCATTTCCAAACCCATGATAATAGTAACTTAATGCCACTGTAAATCATTTTTGGATGTTTGGATGCTATATATATTTTTTTCAATTTCACATCAACTGAAGGCATAGATTATATATTCTGCATTGTTCAAATTATTTGTGCTTTCCTTCTCCACACATGTAAGTCATGTTTGTTTATCTATAGATTAGGTGTGGTCTGTGTCAATTTGGATGTTATATTCACCAAAGTATGATATGAGAACTAACCATTTACATTGATGTCTATGAGGTGAATTAAAGTTAATTGAATTGAGTTGCAGAAAATAGTTTTGATTTGATATTACAGGAAGTGATTGAAGAAGAAAATTTATGAGAAATCATCTTCTGATGATATATCGGTTTTCGATGAATTATTTTTGCAATGATAGTTCATGGATACCCAATTTAACCACAATACCACTGGAAAAATGTAAAAAAAAATAATATAAAGATAATTGATTATATTGGTTGCATTAAATTATGTGTCTACAATATACACAAAATGAAAGGAGTTGTATTATGTTTTCTCATACAGTTTTCCTTTTAATTATAGGGATTGCTACAACTATTTATTAAAATAAGACCTACAGTTTATCAATATCGAAGGTTACGAAGAAAAAAGAAAGTATGTTTTTGTTATCCTTAATGGTATTTATTAAGAAAAAAGGTAAGATTTTGCTTGCTACCGTTAACAATAGTAGTTATTACATAAGACTCTCACTATTTTT